AGAATAGAATAGAATAGAATAGAATAAGGACTAGAGAATAGAATAGAGAATAGAATAGAATAGGAAGGAATAGAATAGAATAGAATAGGAAGGAATAGAATAGAATAGAATAAGGACTAGAGAATAGAATAGAGAATAGAATAGAATAGAATAGCTTTATTGTCATTGTATTCTACAAATACAATGAAATTTGAAAGCTACTCCAGCACAGTATCCCAAACACCACATCACAATCACACTACAGAGTATTTAAAAATTAAAATAATTAAAATAATAATTAAAAACCTAGTCTAAAACCTATTTAAAACATATAGCCAGTTAGATAGTTTAAAAATGCCACTATATACATAAGGCTAAATCACGTATGCATTGTTTGATTCAAGACAGTTATTGCCTTGGGAAAGAAACTGTTTCTCAGTCTATTAGTCCTCATTTTAAGACACCTTTAACGCCTCCCTGATGCTAACAGTTCGAAATATGAATGTCCGGGATGAGAATGGTCTGTGGAGATTTTTAGTGCTCTAGAGAGGAGTCTGGTCTTCGCAATCTCTTCCAAAGAAGAAAGAGACCAACCGATGATTTTTTGTGCTGTGTTTATAACTCTCTGGAGCACTGTTATACAAGCTGTATCCTCACTGCTTTATATTTTATTTTATTTTATTTTATTTTATTTATTTTGTCAAATGCTTATAATATAATAGAAATAAGAATAAACATAAATTTAAATGTAAGAAATAGGAACTAATAATTGGGGAGAATAGGACGGGGACGGTAGGCACGATTGTGCACTTTTGCACGCCCTTTACAGACCTCTTCCACCTTGTAGCCAAGACTACACTGTTCTTAAGTGTTGTCACATGAAGAGACATACTTAAATATTTACAAAATGTGAGGGGGGGTACACTCACTTCTGGGAGAGACTGTAAATAAAATAAATAAATAAATAAATACAACCCCGGCACGTTCAGCATCTCTTTCCTTTTTCTTCGCCCAAGAGCTGAATTTGCAAGCAATTCTAGGCGATGTTTATGGTATGTTTGATATGAACTGGTTGGTTTTTTTTAAAAAAAAAAATCTGATATTTGTTCAGCTCATTCCGATGTTCTCCTCGTGCTCATCCAAAATGTGAAAAGCTCCCAGTTCCTGTTATTAAAACTCCAGGGAGGAAACAGAGCCTCAAAGGATATCTTATCCTGCAAAATGTCAACAGAACAGGGCCAAGAGTTATTTGGCTGAGAGTAGGGTTCTCAGTGGCCTCTTTTGGGAAAAAGGGTGAGCCCTTCAAAGTCCGAGCTTGCTTTTCATCCTAAGCCATGGTTTGCTTCATTCCGACTTACGGAATAAGCCCCAATGGGTTGGGTTGGTGTGGCTCACCCTAAGTTAAAATTGTGGTTTATTAACTGCGGTGGCCAGCTGCTGCTTATTACAATAGGTCCCAATGTTCAGGATAACACTCCAAGCAGTTCCAAGCACTTGTAAACAATTGTACAATAAATAGGATTTTGAAAGCCTCAGAAAGGGCCTGGCTCAAACAGGACAGCAATGGTCTTTGGCGCTCTCTCTACACACAGCGAACTCATTTATTAAACAAACCATGTTTTGGCTTAGCATGTTGTTTGAGCCGAAGGAGGTCATATCTGCTCCTTATATGGGTGAGGCTATCCTCTTCCCAAAGAATAGGATAGGGTAGGATAGGGTAGGATAGGATAGGATAGGATAGGATAGAATAGGGTAGGGTAGGATAGGATAGGGCAGGGTAGGGTAGGGTAGAGTAGAGTAGAGTAGAGTAGAGTAGAGTAGAGTAGAGTAGAGTAGAGTAGAGTAGAATAGAATAGAATAGAATAGAATAAAATAGAATAGAAGGAAGGGACCTTGAAGGTCTTCTAGTCCAACCCCCTGCTTAGGCAGGAGAACTTATACCATTTCAGACAAATGACTGTCCAACCTCTTCATTAAAAATTCCAGTATTGGAGCACCCACAGCTTCTGGTGGCCAGCTGTTCCACTGGTTAATTGTCCTCACAGTTAGGAAGTTTCTCCTTAATTCCAGGTTGCTTCTCTCCCGGATTAGTTTCTGTCCATTGTTTCTTGTCCTGCCTTCAGAGGCTTTGGAGAATAAGTTGACCCCCCCACCCTTCTTTCAGCCCCTCAAATACTGGAATATTGCTATCAAGTCACCCCTAATTCTTCTTTTCCTTAGACTAGCCAAACCCAAATCCTGCAGCCGTTCTTCGTACGGTTGACTCTCCAGGCCTCTGATCATCTTAGTTGCCCTTCCCTGAACTTTTCCCAAAGTCTTAACGTCTTTTTTGTGTTAGACCCTGAGTGGTTTAGAACAGACCCCCCACAAAAATCAAATTAACATCAGTACTCGTGGAAGGTTACTGCAATGGGACCCCTAAAATAAATAAATAAATAAAAAGAACAGGGAAAGTTGGTGGCATTCCTTGCCTTCAGTCGACACGCAGAGCGGGAGAAATACTCCCTACGACGAGACTGAGCTCTTAATTCAGAAATGCAAAGAGAATTTAATAGGTAGAACCGGGGGGTGGGATTCCAAACGTGTAACAACCGGTTCTGTGGGCCTGGCTAGGTGGGCCGGGGCATGTAACTGGGTGGGAATGGCTTTTTTTGCAGCAACACCCTTCCTGGGCCTCAGGGAAGCCTCCTGGGGGTGTTTTGCTCCCAGAAGGTTTCCCTGGGGTCCAGGAAGGAAAAAAGCTGAGCATGGGGGGGGGGGTGTAGCACCCCCATGCTCCATTTTGGGGCCTTCTGGGCCTCGGGAGCCTTCAGGGGGGCGTTTCTGCTCCAGTTTTGCCTTCCTGGGCCTCAGGGAAGCCCCCTGGCTAAAGCAGTAAGTAAAGTGTGGGGAATCCCAGCACAGCTGATCGTAGGAACAGCTGATCGTCGGGAGAAAAGAAATACCTTGAGGAGTGACGGGGCGGGGAAGAACGCAGTCAGCGATGCTGGGCATGCATGATAAGGACTGACTGGGCAGCGAGGAGAGGGAGGGGCAGGGCCAGCCAGGGGCACGATTTGCCAGTTCTCTGAACTGCACAGAATCATAACAACCGGGTCTATAGAACCGGTCCGAACCAGTAAGAATCCCACCCCTGGGTAGAACACAGTGTATCTGGTTCCCCACGATTGGAAAATAGCGCTACAAGGAGGTCCCTGGTTCGAAAGAAAGGCAAGCAACGGAAAAGTCACTCCATAGGGAGGCTGTAGTCCTTCCTTCTTGGAAATCCAAACTAATGAAATTGTCAATGATTGAGGAAGCCTCTGGGTTAAATTAAGTTGGGGGCGGGGGGGGGGAAGCAATGGTGTGTACCGTTGCCCGCCCAACCAAGGAGAAGGTATGGATGATGCTTCCAGGAGCAAATTGCAGCCCTTCCGAAGAGGAATGAAGACATCGGGATGGAAGACTTTAATTACCCCAACGTCTGCCAGGAGACAGCGCCGAACAGCAGAGCAGCCATGTGGCACAGCCGAAGAAGAAGGGCACATACCCTGCCCTTGCCATACCCCTCCCTGCAGCCTCTCCAGCAAGCTGCATCCCGGTCTATCTCAGAGCATCAAAGGAGCGTAACAAATGGGTGTGACAAACAAAGACTGGACACAGGCTTGCGAGTTCAAAGCATGCATTTAATTGGGCACCTTCTCCCTTTTCTGCCCTCGGAGTGGAGAAGGAAACGATGCAGTTAAAACCCCATGCAACGTATCCCAGGCCTCTGCGTTTGGCCGAGTCGAGAGTTACTCGTACATGGAGCGTTGGCAGTAAGAGAATTTGAAAATGAAAAGGATCCACAGTCGGGTACAGGATTCATCTTCCTCGAAGAAAAAGCTTGGCGCTGGAAAGAATAGAATAGAATAACAGAGTTGGAAGGGACCTTATAGGTCATCTAGTCCAAACCCCCATCCATGCAGGAAACCCTACACCATTTCTGACAGATGGCAATCCAGTCTCTTCTTGAAAGCTTCCAGTGATGAAGCTCCCACAACTTCCGACGGCAACTTCTGTTCCATTGGGTGGATCGTTCTCAATGTCAGAAAATTCCCCCTTATTTCCAGGTCGAATCTCTCCTTGTTCAGTTTCCATCCGTTATTCCTTGTCTGGCCTTCAGGTGGAGAATAGCTTGACCCCCTTCCTCCTCTCTGGGGCAGCCCCTCAAATACTGGAAGGCAGCTCTCCTGCCTCCCCTGGTCCTTCTCTTCCCTAGACTAGCCATGCCCAGTTCCTGCAACCGTTCTTCAGATGTTTGAGCCTCCAGTCCCCTCATCATCCTGGTTGCTCTTCTCTACACTCTTTCCAGAATCTCTTTCCTTTCCTTTCCTTTCCTTTCCTTTCCTTTCCTTTCCTTTCCTTTCCTTTCCTTTCCTTTCCTTTCCTTTCCTTCTTCCTTCCCTTCCCTTCTTTTCCTTTCCTTCTTCCTTTCCTTCCTTTCTTTTCCTTTCCCTTCTTCCTTTCCTTTCCTTTCCTTTCCTTTCCTTTCCTTTCCTTTCCTTTCCTTCCCTTCCCTTCCCTTCCCTTCCCTTTCCTTTCTCTC